AGTAAGAAAGCATTGCCTATCTCCCCACTGGACCCCAAGCTCCCTGACGACAGGGATCTTATATATCTTGTTCACTGCACTTCTCCAGCTAGAACATAGTAAGTGCTCAATAAATATGGGTGAATGAATTGCTAAAGCTCAGGCCCTCTCTTCAAGGAGGGAAATGCAAGTTCTGGGCTTGGAGGGCTGGGAAAGATGGATGGTCCTAAGATGAAGGAGTTGAGAAGAGATGAGTCCTGCTAGTTAGGGTATCAGGGAAAGTTGCCCATTGCTGCATCACCACCCACCCCAAAACTTAGTGGCTTAAAACAACAGTAGTCATTTTGTTTGCTCACGATTCTGTAATTTGGGAAGGGTTCAGCTGGTATACCTTGTCCCTGCTCCATAGTGTCAACTGGGACCAAAGGATCCACTTTCGAGATGGCTCACTCTAAGTTAGCTGCTGGCTGTTGGTTTCATATAGACCTCTCCGCAGAGCTGCTTGGGCTTCCTTGCATGTGGTGACTGGCTTCTACCAGTGAGTATACCAAGAGTCAGGAAGTAGAAGCTGCCTGTGTTCTTAAGGTCTGGGCCCAGAAACTGGCATGGCATGATGTCCTCTATATTTTACTGGTTAAGAAGTCGGAGCTAGGATTCAAGGGGCTCTTGAGGGAAAGTTTTGGGGCCATGCCTTGAAACCATCACAGAGGGCTTCCTGGAGGAGAGGAGTGAGCCGCTACAAACACTAAAGGTTTGAATGGGCCCCTGTAAGCTCTTCAGTATGGCTGGAGCAGCCTCGGTCGTCTGCAGCATGGCTGAGGCCTTGTTCCAGCTACCCTGAGGAAGCCTCCCGTCACTGGGCATGACAGACTGGCCATAGCACTTCCTGTCTCACATGTGCTTCTACAATGTTGCCTGTTTCATCAACAACTGGACTCTACTTCCCCTCCCCTTGAAACGGGATGGACTTGTGACTACTTCAGTGAACAGAATGTGGCAGAAGTGATGCTGGGTGACTGCTGAGTCTAGGTCCTAAAAGGGGAGGTGACTTCCACTTAGTGCTCACTCTCTTTCTTCCTCTCTCTCTCCAGACACTTGCTCTTAGAACCAAGGCACCCTGCTGCCAGGAAGCCTGGGCCACGTGAGGAGGCCACCCATAGGTGTTCCAGCTGATAGCCCAAGATAAGGTCTTAGCATCAACCATCAGGGACCAAGGGAGCCAAACTTCAGAGGATTCCAGCCCCCAGCCTTTGAGTCTTCCATCTGAGGCCCCAGACATCAGAGGTACCAGTGACAAACTATCCTCACCATGTTCCGTCTGCATTCCTGACCCCCACAACCCACGAGCATAATAAGTGGTTACTTCGTGCCAACTTCTGGGTGATTGGTCATATAGCCATAGTAACTGGCACAGTGGGCAAGGTGAAATAGAACAGTGGGACTTCCAGAAAGCAGTCACACAGGCAGGAGGAGTCTGGTGGACCCCACCAGAGCAGTCTGGCTATTGAAGCTGGCTTCCACCAGGTATACATTGGAGAGCAAGGGCAGGTGTTCTGGACAGAGAAAACCGCTTGTGTGAGGCTTCAGGCTGGCAAAGGGTCCAGCAGGAGGAAGGCCAGGGGGCTAGAGCACAGCCCTGCAGGGACGGGGTGGGTGTGCAAGGGGCCACTCTTCATCCTGAGCACTTGGGAGGCCCCTGGGTCAGAGCTGCTTCCAGGTGAGGAGGGGAGAGGGGGAGGCAGAGGAACAGGCCACTGGTCAGGCCCAGCGAGTAAGGATGAGGCCTCTGCTGTGGTGGGGCATGGGCAAGAGGGCCTGACCGAGCCATGGGATGGGTGAGGACCAGACACTGTGTAGGAACCAGGGGCTCCTGCCTGGATGGACGTGGGACTAGGACCAGAAGCTCAGGCGGCAGGAGGTGGGGATACCCGTGTGGAGGGATAAGGGTGCCACTAGAAAGGCAGTATATGATATGCTCCTTTTTGCAGCATGGCCTTTGCTAGCTGTCCTTCCTCTGGGAAGATCCCCTGGGGAGGGGACATCTACTGCAGTCCCTTTCCCTCTTGACTTAAACCCTGTGACCTGTCTCTTTATTCCTGAGACTGAGAGACACAGGAGAGCTCCCACTGCTGGCTGCTTCCTCAACTATGGCCGTGATGATGTCAGGCCCTCAGGAGCCTGCTGGGCTTTTCCCCAGCTGGGAACACTCTCTGGCCAGAACTGAACGATGGACAGTGTCGAGCCCACATTACAGCACGTGCCTGGGGGAAAGGCAGCCTGCTTGGTGGCTGTAAGTACACCCTCCGCTCTGATCCTAGCGCCGAGCACCTACTGACAGCAAGTGGGATGCCCCTCACTCAGCAGCAGGAGGATGCCTGGCACGCCGGGCCTAGCTCACTGGCCTCACCTCGGAGCCTTCTGGAGCCTCCCTCGCTGGAGGACTTCCCCTGGGCTCCCTTGGTCCTGAAACTGTTTCTGGTGTTCCTAGTACAGACACGGGTCTCTTCGCCCCTTTCCTGGCAGTCTGGGGGCCCTGGCGTGTCCCAGCATCCGTGCAGCCTCCCACTCTGAGGGCGCTGGGTGGGGTCTGCTGAAGGCACGGTGGGCTGATGCTGGATGGATTCTCTGGGTCAGCGCATCGATGACCCGGCCTCCTCGGTCTGCCACCATTCTGTGAGAAGGGTCCTTTCTCACAACAGATGTGCCTCTCAGTGCAGAAATTTCTGGTGACACCTACGCATCCTTAAGAAGCAAAGAACGCTGTCTGTGACAGAGGCAAATCAAAATTAAAACAGCTGTCAGCAGCCCCTCGAATGGCGCTGTCAGCCGTGGGGGATGGTCACGGGGGAGGGGCTGGGAGCTCAGTGGGCCGGGGAGCACCAGCTCACTTAGAGGCTGCCCCGGCCCTGGATGGGACTGGTGAGACCCTTCCTCTGCACAGCCGTCTGCGAGGACAGAGGACCCACCTCGATCACCTGCAGCCTCTTCCAGCTCACCTGGTGGAGGGGGAGCCAGGGGCATGGCTTCTGCCTGAAGAAGGGGCCCTGGAAGGAAGATGTGTCAGTACGATTCCCCCAGAGCCGGCCCTGAGAGAAGCTGAAGAGCGGCTCGTTTCGGGGGGAGGAGCAAACACCATACAGGGGTGGGGAAGGGAGTCAGGAGAGGCAAGGCCACCAGCACCCGGACTCAGGCCTGTAGGGAAGGCCCCTGCATTCACCTCTTCTCAGCCGGTGACGCAGGTAGAACAGCAGGCGGATCCAGCAGCCCCGAAGTCGTCTTCCCAAGGGCTAGGGGTGAGGCACCGACCACACCTGCTCCCCCAATCTCTGCTCCCAGCGGCCAGGGAGGGATGCCGGTGTGGGTGGTCATCACTGGTCAGCAGCATGAGCCATTCTGAGAAGTGTGCCACGCCCTCCCACCTTTCCAGGGCAGAACAGGTGGGTAATAAAGTCCCTTGGGGGAATGTGGGTTGTGCCCCATGGGAGGGAAAACCCCTTGTTGGCTGGGCCTGGGACAGAGGCCTAGGCTAGCGATGGGTCCAGGCACGAATTCTGGCAGTGGCACAAAGTGCCGCTGGCCTCCTAGTTCTACCTAAGCTAGGCAGATCCCTACCCCCCCCTTTCCTGGTTTGTCATTTAAGACTTGGAGTGCACTCTGCACTGTGGCCCTTCATCCAATCCCATGTTAGCTGGGTGTAAGCGAGGCTACCAGGGCAAACCCGGTGTGGAGGGGGGACAGTGGAGAGAGGGTGGCAAGCTGTTGGGGCATTGCCCCCAAATGGCTTCTTGGACCAGTAGGTGGAGCAGGGCCCAAACTGGGGAAGAAGGGACCAGCAGGGTTAGGCGTGAGCCCTAGGTCACCGCCTCATGCAGTGACCCAGGTGAGGCCAGGTGGGGGGCCCTGCTGGCCACGCCCTGGACGGGTCTCCTCTGGGTCAGGCCTGCTCAGCACGGATCCCCTGCCTGGAACAAGTCAAGCTACGTTCTCAGTTTCACATTAGTCTTTTATTATAACCGTACTGAATGGAATCACTTTGCCAAAAGGAAAAGCCATTTCTTAAATCAGTATGAGTCACAGCATAAAGATGAATGAGAACAAAGCGATAGGATGTAAATGGCACAAGAGGGTATTCCATAAGTCAAATGAATTGTGCCATTGTGAGACAAATTATTATGACAACTTTTACATCAAAGTGGTCTCAAGCCTGTTTACAGGAACTTTTTATTTCTTTTTAACACTATAAAAAGAGAGCTTTTGAAAGTAACACGGTGGGGGGTAGCAGTAATGGCTTGGGAGAAGTCCAGCTTGTCACGTGCTGTCCTTAATTCACCCGGCCTCCTCTCCCGCCCTGCAGGCCACCAGCGCCCCTGCTCTGGACATGCAGGGGTGGGGCCAGGTGTGCACCTGTGGGGCGGGGGGATGGCCCAGCCTCCATGGGACAGCCACCCAGAGGCCTGGTGTCCCCCATACACGTTCTGGTTCTATAACCACCCCAGGGGGCTGCTGCTTAAAATAAAAACAAAAATAGTAAATCTGAGTCGACTCTGACAGGTCAGCTGTCGTTAGCAGACCCCATAAATGCCACTGAGCTTTGTGTCTGCTCCTCGTCTCTGACAAAGTGGAGGGGACATTCCTGTTCGTGGTGGGCAGTCAGACCTGAAGGACCAATGCACGGGACTGAACTCGGTCAGATGCAGAGAAGGCAACGCCCAGGGAGGTCTTGGTTTATTTTTAGTCACACTCATTCTGCAGAGATACTATTTCCAACCAGACTGCAGGTAGCTGTGAGCAGTAGCAGGAGGTCAACTGTGGAAGAATGATCCAGTATAATTGAATGTTTGAAGTGTTTTATGACCCCTTGGCACATATAAAAGGTAAGGCAAAGTCGTAATGATTTTCTTTCTCTAATCTGTAGCTCTCATATATAATGTAGAGGTAAATTTTAACTCATTTCCAAACTGATCAGAAAGGAATGCATGAAACACAGGTACCTGTATTAAAAAAGTGGATGACAACAAAAATTCATCTAAGCTTTATATATATAAAATATATTTAACTGCTAATAATCAAAACATGAGAGGCCTCCACTGATTGTTAAAGAAAAACAAAAAAGGTTTCAGATATTCAGGATTTTAACACTTAAACGTGAGTACTTGATAAAATAAAAAAGGAATACATTCTTTAATAGCACTGTAACTAATAAAAATGCAAACGATGCTCAACTATGGAGAATAAAAAGTCACTTAAAAAGATTAAGAGAGTAATACAATTCTCAAACCCCACGGACCTATGGGAATTTGAGGGTGGCACTGCCCACATCCCACTCCCCCTCATGTTTCTTTCCTCCGAGGAGGGAGCGGCTCATTGGGGGCCATAGAAGCAACGCCTCTGAGAGACCCCCTTGGTTCTCACGTGGCACCAACATGGAAGCACAGAGTGGAGGACCTGCCCCTCGTGTGCTGGAGGGCTGGGAGTTTTCAGGGACCGTTAACCACCCAGCCAACTGCAGGGAAGTAGCCTAGAGCCTTGTACTGGGTGGGTACTGAGCCCCCCCCACCACTGGACTATCAGGACTCTAGCTCTCAGGGCAAAGAAACTGTCAAAAGCAGATGACTAGGACCCACGGCCATGGGACAGCCATCTCCATGGCCCTTTCCACTTTGTGTCTTGGAGCCCTGGCGAGGATAGCTCCGCACTTCTTACCTGAGAACTGAAAACACTGACAATGCCCCAAACCAGGTCCTCTGAGGGAAAATCATGGCAACCGTGTGCAGTTGCAAGGCCATTCACTGTATGGGAACCTTGGGAGCGAAGTGTGGTCAAGGTGACACACACTGGGCAGTAACTTACTCTATGAGTCACCCCCAGGCGGTGCTGAGCAGACCACTTCATGGGGGAGCTGAAGAGCTCAGCAGCTTGTCTTTGAGTGATCATGGAAGGCCAAGCAACCCTGTCACCTGAGCAAAACCAGACTTCGTATTCATTGCCCATGCTCACGTGTTCAGAGGTTCTCCTGCTAGAGTCTGAGGACAAACTGCAGAGCTAACTGGGACCCTCTCTGCAGTAGTGGACTCCGAGTCATCACTGCTTTCTTCTGAGAGCACGTGGGAAATCAGGTCATTATCACACTGTAGAGAAATACAGGGTTAGCAGTGGGAAGGACTGTAAACGGTGTCTAGCCTTTCAAACTTAGATTTTCACTGGTTCACGTGAAAGCTTCCACCGCCTAGAGGCCTTGCCGTCCTCAGAGGAGAAGCCCCGAGCACCTGTCACTGCAGGGTGAAATGGGCACTGTGGCTATCCTGTTAGAATGCCTGCTTGCACAAAGGACAGGGAAAGTGTCCTTTTCGGGGCCTTTCTTCTTAAGGAGAGAAACAGCTCATGTGATGCTTTCTGCCCAGCAAGATTCCATAAGCTGCCAGCTGAAAAGGGGAACTCTCTATTGTGTGCCCAAGCCCAGGAAGGCACCGGGCAGGTCAGAGCTGGTCCTGTGATGCCTGGGACGCGGTGCGCAACTGAACCCAGGCCCCGCAGCTCCTCTGCCTGGCTCCCGGCGAGGGAAGGGCTGTGCAGAAGTCCTGCGTCTTCCTGATGTCTGGAGTGTTCTGTGGGAAGCCCTGCTCCCCCAGAATGGACTCCAGGTCGAATTCCCTGTTACTGCTACTTTAAGGCCAATGGGAGGTCCCGACTCTGGATGGGAATGAGCTTGGGTTTTTCCCTTTACTTCTCAATTGACAGGTGACAGGTGTATTCCAGCGCCAAAACTAGACAAACTACACCAGAAAACTGAGAGATGTCTGTCCCATAGTCAGGGTCACATTTTCCAGTTCAAGAAGTAATATTCTTACGACTTCTGAAATCAGTGCAGCAAAGACTGGCTTAATGTGACCTTTGTTTTCTGGTTGTGAAGGATTCTAAAGGGGGAAATACAGTTGTCTGAGGAGGGACAGTGATGGCCAGAGTCTGTCTGGCCTGAGGTTTGGAAACATATTCTTTAACAAATGAAAAAATCTAAACCCCATCACACCTAAGTTTAGACCCTGTTTCTAAAGATCACTGTAACTTTCTGAGAGGTCAGTGATGGGTTTTTTCTAGCCCTGGAATCCACCAGTTCTAGTCCATTCTGTTGTATTTGGCTTTGCTGTATGGCTTCCCAAAGGAAGGAGGAATGAAACAGGCTGAGAGAGAGATTTCCAGAGAATAAGCCTTCTTGATCTCAATTTTCCTATGCCTGACGCTCCAAGGGAGGGAAGATTTGAAACCAACTCTTCTTCCTTCTTCTAGTTATAATTAATGGAGTTGCCACACCTAATTCTTAGTTGGGGAGAGGGGGATAGAGGGAAAATGATTCTAATTGTGATTTGGTCTTTTTTTGACAGTGAACATGATACTGGATACTTAGCCCTGGTCTACCTCAGAGCAAAGGCGGGGTGGGATAGGGCCCTGAAAGCCCTGTCTGCATTTTGGTGAACATCTGTCTGTGTGCTCTGTGGCCATCTGCCTCTCTCTAGAGGGTTCTGACGGGTTGCACTAAGGCCACAGGCATGCTGGGCAAGAAGTGTTGGTTTCAGAGGGGTCCCCACTGCGGAAGCCTCAGCCGGGCCCCGGGGCTGCTGAGGGGGGTGGCGAGTCCCCACGAAGGAGGCCAGGGGCACTGTGGTCAGATGTCCAGGGGGCTCACAATGGTGAAGCCAGAGTCCTTGCTGTTGCTGCTGCTGTCCTCGTCGGGGCTGGAGTTGGGGTTGCTCGAGGAAGCCGAGGCAGGGCCCATCAGAGGGTCGGAGAACACGAGAGGAGAGCGGGCCAGGGGCTCGCTTCTCCCAGAGGTGCTTCGGAGGGTGCGAAGAGGCTGGGACTGGCCTGAGAAGGACCCCTTAGCGCTGCCCCCCTCGTCGTCTTTGGAGACCAGGATGAAGTCATCTGTACTTCCTCTGTCCACGTGCCCTGGTGTTTCTGAAGAGGCCTGTGAAGTACAGTCAGAAGTACAGGTGGATGAGTGAAGACCCCAGTGAAACAAGAGAACTAAGCAGTGGCCCTGTGAGCCGGGAGCGCTTCCCGGAAGTTTAGGCCCTGTGCTCTTCCTTGGAAAGATGCGGTGTCTGGTCCTGCTTCCCTGAAGCCCCGGCACTTCCCGGTAGCGCGGGGCCAGTTCCTCTGAAGCTGGGTGCTGGTTTCCCAGGGCAATAGAGTAAGCCTCCTGCTTGGAAAGTTAAGAGAGGCTGGCTCAGGAGGCAGGCTGCAGAAAGAATCCCCATCCGTTCACGTGGCACCCTGCCATGCACATCACTCATCTTCCTTGGGCTTTCATGTTCTCACCTGTGACATGGGGACAAGGACAGCATCTCTGACCCAGTGTGTGGTCACCACGCATTGAGATGATGCGTGTGGCTGTGCATCGCATAGGACTGGATCCCTAATGTAAGCCCAGACCTGGAGTGATTTTATTACCTGCTTAACGAAGAGCTTCAGGAGGGCCTAGTGTATGTATCTTCTAACCAGCTCAGCCCCGGTATGCACTTAGGGGCCCCCTGGGACAATGGTGGCAAACACGAAAACCAGGAATAGCAACTGTAAAGTATATGGCAAAAAGCATAGACAGTATTGCTTTACAATTATTTTCCTTTCTTCTTAAGCAATTATGAGTAGCATTTGATTTTTAACTAAAAAAAGCTGACATCCATGAACACCAGTAAAGGTTTTGGGTTAAACCCAGAGAAGCTCCTGCCTACCCTGGGACACATGTGGATGTTCCAAAGCCAACCTGACAGAAGACATACTGATGTAAGCAGACATCGTGCCCACGGCCTGCTCACCACTGCCCCCCACACCCCCACCTACTCTCCCACAGCATGGGTGGGGACTGGCACCCAGGTCTGAAGTCTGACGAGCTGTACAGAACCCCTTGGCTGGAAGTGCCCCCTGCGTCCTCTGGCCCCCAGACTGCTATGGCCTGGGCCACCCGCGGGCTGTGGGCAGAGCCTGGACAGGTAGTCAGCCCAAGGGAAATCTGGACCTGACAGTCCCCTCTCTGGACTACATGTTCTTGGTGACATGGGGGTGGGGGGGGGGGTGGTGAGTGGCCAAATAATGGCTCATGTGCGTCCATCCTCTGACCATTCATCCAACTTTAAGATCTTTAACTGGGAGAAGAGAAACAGAATTAACTTTAAGATCACAGTGCTGAAACAACAGGCCTTGAAATTCTTCATCTCAAGTTTTAAAGCTGTTTACATTCCAGCAACACATTAATTCTTAAAAAACTGAGGCGATATGCAGAACATGGCACTCTGGCAGCAGAGGATGCGATAATTGGCACCAGGACAGTTTGGTAGAGAAAGACCATCCCACCATAAGGTGCACCCAGTCGGGGCTGTACCACCCTCGCAGAGCCTGGAGGGGACACGTGCGTGCAGCCTGTCCCCCGCCCTGCATTTGCACACGGGGTGCACGTAAGGCTGGGTGGGACCTCAGTTTCATCCTTCTACCTCCAAAGTGTGGACGCTGTTCATATGACCGCTGTCCTGAACTATAAACTGTGAAACCCTGCACTTCTCACCCCACACAGGGTCTGTGGCTGGAGTGCTGCCCGGTAGAGCTTATCTGAGGCTGAAAATGAGAACAGCATGTACAGCAGGCCCTATTTTCAGAGTGGCGTCTCTACTACAGAAATAGCATGATAACCTATTCACCTTTAGCTTAGAGTGAATACAGTACAAGATGTTGAAGATGAGAAATATGTTATAAAGCCTGTGCCTGGAAGTAAAGGTGGTTCCTACCATCACTAATTATCTGGTGCATTTCTGGGAAAGTAGGGAAGGCAAGTTATAAATGGTGGGTAACTGCTCCGCTCCCCATTCCCAGATAAAATCACAGACTGACTCAGACAAAGCCTGGTACAGCCGGCAGGGCCTGAGTCACCCCCTTCTTTTAGCACCCCTCCTCACCTTTATATTACAGATCACACAACGACACCCAGATCAGAGGCCTGGTGGCTTGGCCAATGTCCCAAAGCAAATGAAAAGATCTGCCTCTTCTGGATTCCCAACTAGAACTTTCTCCTAGACACAAAGATGCCTTCTTTCTGGATTTCTATACAATCTTAGCTGCTACCTGGTTCTGTTTATGTCATTTACAAAAACTTCGGAAATTCCTAGGTCAATCCTCTCTTTTTGCCAAACACAGGCATGTACTATACAATTAAAGAAGTTTTTCAACCTGTCAGTCCTGCTTAAAACTGGCCAGGACCAACACAATATACAGCACCCCTCCCCCAACCCTGCCATTCACCCTGCCTCATTTCTTACCTTTTGTTTAGGATCATGAGCTTAGGGTCATGGAGTAGAAGCAGGTGAGCCCAACTAGAGACCAGCTGTTCAGCAGACCTGTTCTAGAGTGACGGAAGGGTTCTCTTTCTATGCTAATAGAGTAGCACCCAACCACATGTGGTTATCGAGCGCTTGAAAGGTGGCTAGTATGACGGAGGAACTGTATTTTTAACTTAATTCTATTGAATCTTAATGAGATAAGTTTAATTTTAAATCGATGTGTGGCTAGTGGCTACTATATTTAGACCATGCAGCTATAGGCCATACAGGTAAAAATAGGGGCCCCAAGCACCAGTGAGGCACATGATAGGAGCTGGTTGTCCTACAAGGTCCTACCTGCCACTGGCGTAGATTTGGGTCAAGTTCACCAAAAGCCTCCCAGAAGAGTATGTGAAAAACACTGGGAGGGAGGGCCAAAATGTGGCTCTCTTTACAGAATACAATTTTGCATCTGCCATTTTCAGAGCTGGAGACAAGATTTGTGAATCAAATGGAAAGAATAATATTAGCCACATCCCCATCAACATGCCAGTGGGGAGCAGGGCATGTGCATGTCCACAAAGGAAGAGCCGTGTTGGAGTTCCTGATGGGGAAGGGCACTGGCCGGGGGACCCTGAGCCACCTGCCCCAAGGTGGGTCAGCCCAGTCCTCTGCATTATCCTTCACACATACTTTAGTGCTAAACCAAGAAAGCAAAGACATTCCTAAGTTAGGGATGAGCTGTGGCAGAACCTACCACAGACCCCACATGTGGTGATTACATCTCCAGAAATGTTGCAAAAGCCTGCCTCCACTGCCCTCCCCCTCCCCCCCCACCCCCCAGTCTCTGGCCCTCCATTTAACAGGAAGCTCTTGAGCAGGGGCTACATCCCATAACCCTGAACACCCACTGGCTGGCACAGCAGGCCCTCAGCTCACATTTGGGAGGCAGGAGGGGAAAAGCCTTCAGAACTCCCACTTGGCACACATGTTCCTGTCCAGAGCCAGCCCCCAGCCGGGGTGGGTCCCCACAAGCAGTGAGAAAGTACGTCGGCCAGCTCCAGGGCCTGACCGCTGCCCAAGGCTTGGGACAGGTTCCTAAGGAAAGATGGTGGGCCAGGACTTCCTGTCAGGGGGCCCCTGTATGAGTCTAGTCCAGATTCCCACAAGGCCTCAGACACTCAGCTTTTGGGGGGACTCACTGCTTCATCTGGGACTTCACTTGGCTTTCCTCCCCTGAAGATGAGGAGAGAGCACTGCTTCCCTATTTTTCCCTTCCTCGGGTAAAACCTCTTTTAGGAGGACAGGTTTTTTATAAACTGCTAACACCCTTGGGGAAGAAGCCATGGCAGGAATGAGAAAAAAAGGAGAGCCCTACTGTTTGCCCCTTTCCCGCTTTTCTCCTTTTCCACCTAACCCTACAGAGGCACAGAAGGCAGCGGTGGGGTGCTGGTGCAGGACGGGTTGGCGGCGTCTCAGAAGCACATGCGGACGCACAGGGCCTCTCGGATGCTGCACAAGAGTGCGGCTCTGCCCACGCCGGGGCGTGTCCTAGTTCGTGTCACCTGCGCCTCGTGGCCGGCGCACCCAGGATGCACATGGGGCTCTGCGGGGCAGTGGTGGCCACAGGTAGTTCTTACAGATATGAGAACCGGGAAAAACAATGGCAAAGTATAATCAAGAAGCTTTAAATGTAGCAAATTCATTAGTGTTTTTGAAAGGTGTTTTTCAGTATTACTTTTATATATTCAACTACAAAAAAAAAATCACGCTGAAGTTTAGAATAAAATTGTCAATTAAAAATGGTTGGAGGTGAGCCTAAGCTCAACAATATTTGAATAAAGAAATGATTATTGAAAAATTAAACATCTGTTTAGAGAAGGAGAATGTGGAGGAACTAATCAAATTAAACTTGCAACGTTAATGCTGTATCCATGTGGCCAAAGATGCAGACTAATGGCTCCATGAAACCTTCCTTTTAAAGCTAGATGAAATTAACCACATAAGGTCTCTCTTCTTGAAAAGTACTCTTTGTGAGGTGGGAGGTGGGGAGTACTCTTAAAATAAAAAAAGTTCCATTCTAAAATACCATTTTTTTTAAATCATAAAAAATAAATAATTTACAAGCATCTGGATGCTTTTGAGAAAGAGCCTTAGATGAGATTTTGCTAATGTTCATTTTTCCAGATGAGACTTTGTAAGCCATTAAAAAACATATTACTAGGGATTTTTAGTCCTAGCAAATAAAGTATAGTGAGGAAGCACGGTGGAGCTGGAAGCTTGCTGGGTTGGGACAGGAATTCTGAAAACACGATGCCTGGCCAGCCTGTGCACCTCCTGGGCCTTCAGTGTTTCACTGGTAAAATAAGCAGATAGGACTAAGCCCATGAGGAATTTCCTGAATCCTTTCTCACTGGAAAAGTCTGTGCTTCTACGTTAGAATAAATTACACACAATGTCAACACCTTGAGAGCAGGGGGCAGCAAACTATGGCCCATAAGCCAAATGTGGTCTGTGGCCTCTTTCCGTATGGCTCGAAAGATGATAATGGCTTATACATTTCTAAGGGTTGTAAAAACAAACACACCAAATGCAAAAACAAATATGAGACCAGACCACATGTGGCCCACGAATCCTAAAATATTTACCATCTCATCCTTTATAGAGAAAGTTTGCTGACCTCATTCCCTTAGAGGATAGACATTAATGAGAAGCCCTCCTCCGTGAGGGCAGAAAAGGTTGTAGCCAAGAGGAGTCCACTGAGGACAGCATCAGAAAAGTAGGCACAGTACTTCCTGTGCTAACGGGGACTGGAGGTATCAGCTGGAGGCACCGACCCATAGCTGAGGCCGAGCCGTGACTTTCTAAGGCCACACAACAGGACTGGCAGGACGTTCAGGCTAAAGCTGCTGCATACAGGTCTGTAGGTTGGACACTGCACAACTCTAGGAGACAATGGTCTCCCGTGGGGCACTGGAGTATGCAATTTGCCCGGCTACACAGCACCTCTGGGTCAGGCCACCTGTGGTATTTTATAGTTGAACTTCGCACATGGTAATTTGAAATGACTTTGGTTAAGTTTTTGGTATTCACAACTCTCAAGACCTTATGTGGATGTGCCCCCATCAAGTTACCGTGACACTGTTCACCAGAGCTCTTATACCTGCTTGGTGGCCCCAGGCATTTCGTCGCTCTGGCCCCGGCCTTGGCCTTGGCCACTGGAGCAGTAGTGGTCATCTGAGATGGTGATCTGCTCATTCTCCTCAGCTTCCAGCTGACTCTGGTTGAAACGCAGAGAACCTTTTAGAATGTCTTTGATCTAGTTTTCAAAAAGAAGAAAATAAATGGAAGAGGTGAATGAGTTTGCTTCACAATACTAGCTAAACCTCTAACATTTAAACTAGACTTATCCCTGACTACTTTTTAATAGTATGGATATGAATATATTACCAGAGGAAAGGAGTAACAGAAAAAAAATCCAACTCTATCAAAGCCATGGACTTACTAATGGCCAAGGAAAATTTCAGTCCTAATGGCCGGGTTCTCGCAGGGTGAGCCCTGGGTGTCACATCCTGGGCAGGAAGTACCATGTGCTTACCTACCCAGCCCCCCGGAACAGCCCTTAGCTACCAAACTGGCTGCACCCAGCTGAGCTGTTAATAACACAGGCAGACATCTGAGAGCAACACGCTCTCTTCATTAACAGGTATGTTCCACGCAGCCCTCCAAGCGTTGGGGAAACATGGTCCTCGTGGGTCTGAGGCCTGCCGTGGGTGGTGATTGTTACTTGTGCTCCAAAGACAGCGTGGATTTGTGGATGAACAACTGAACATGCTGCTGGACCACAAAACACCAACTCCGGGTGAGGAACAAACGGAATGGCTTCGGTAAGAGGAAGAAGCAAGGGTGGGGACAGACAACTAGCTTGAGCTGCAAGCTCGTCAGACCTAATTGCCAGTAGGACCAAGAGGTGTAAGGAACTGGGGAGTCAGGGTGGGCTCTGCCCGGGAGGAAATGAGGGGCTGGCGCTAATGCCACGGTATGCCATGCCACAGCGTGCCCTCCCCAACAGGCACTAGAGGAATGGCCAGTGGAGTGCAAAGTCAGGTCAAATGGACATACCTGTTTTAATCCTGCCAGAGAAACCAGAATTTGATCTTCTTTTTCCAAATTTTCTTGTAATATCACATCTTGAATATTTACTGAAAACAAAAGAATGACATTTTAGAACTAATGCTCTGAGTATAGCTTATCTGCTAGCCACACCATGACTTGCTTGGAAGTTTTTCTGTCCAATTTCATGGCAGGTATTTCCACCAAGGATGCTCTGCCCAGCTGCAGATGAGGCAGGTGTGGGGGAGAGCAGAGGGGAGCCCTGAGCCCAGTATGCACAGCCTTCCCACCAACGCGCCACATACATTCTTACGACGCAGATGGGTCTTCACTTCCACAGGGAGAGCCGGGCACCTCCTGCTAACCTCTCATGTGAACGGCCTGGAGCATTCATCCAGCCTCGGGGAGGAAACGTTTCAGCCTGGCCTTCCTACACTGCCTCGCGGTTCAGTGATGTTAGCTCACCTCTCTGAAGGCCAGGCCCTCCCAGGTGACTGAAGTTAGTAAAGTGACCGTCTTCAAAGATGTAAGCAGTAAAGCACATCATCAGTTCAACAAGACGGTAAGCATGACAGGACGAACTCACGGCACTGCAGAGGTGCCATCGGACAACAAGGCCTGTGGAGTCAGCCGGACGTCGTCGCAGGAGCTACTTCTCTCCGTCCTCCAGAAGGCTGCCCCTCCACGTGAGAAGCCCTTCATCAGGCCCGGTGTGAGGGATCCAGCAAGTCAGCTGTGACCGCCAGGCTCAGCACTGCACCGAGCTGCCCACCAGGAGCTCCGACAGGCAGCGGTGCTCGGCGCTCCCCCACCGCGCACCTGAGGGAGGCACACAGCCCTCTCGGGGGCCTGCTGAGCCGGATTCTCAGGGGAGCTCGGGGGAGGGGGCAGAGCCCTCTCCCCACCCCGGGGCTAGGCAGGAGAAGGCATTGGTGGGGGTGACAATAACACACACTTTAAAAAAGATACTTTTAAGCACACCAGTTGGAGAATCACTACAGTAAGTAGGCTCACCCTCCATTAACACCTGCTTTCTCATTTTGTGGCCTTAAAGCACACCTCGGGGCGCCTGAGTGGCTCAGTCGTTAAGGGTCTGCCTCTGGCTCAGGTCATAATCCCAGGGTCCTGGGATCGAGCCCCGCATCGGGCTCCCTGCCCCGCGGGGAGCCTGCTTCTCCCTCTGCCTGCCGCTCCCCCTGCTTGTGTTCTCTCTCTCTCTCTCACTCTCGCTCTATCTCAAATTTTAAAAAAAAGCACACCTACTTATAAGGTCTTACCTGCCCCATGCTTAGTCATTCATTCAGTAGAGCTGCCCCAGTCTCAACGGGGGACTCCTCAGTTCCATGCCGGGCCCCCATCGGCCACCAGAGCGACGTGTCACTCCCTGCTTGCTCACCCCTGCCCTGCTGGTGCCAGCGGCAGAGCCGGCCCACTCTTCTCCTGGCCCGCAGCCCCTGGGCCCAGAGCCGCGCGGACTGGCTCCTCCTCATCGTTCAACTCCAGGCCCAGGCTGCCTCCTCAGGGCAGCCTTCCTGCCCATCCAAACCAAGGGAGGCCAGGTCATCCTCCGGTTGCGGCCACAGCGTCTCTGCTCCTATACTCGCACTAGGCACCTGTCACCAGCCAGCATGGTCACATGCGTTTGCGGGCTTACATGTCGTCCGTCTCCCCCAACAGGATATAAGCTCTGAGACTGTCTTACTCAGGGCTCTACTCTCAGCCCTTAGAACGAGGCTTGGTGCATTTTAGGGACACAGTTAAGTACTGACTGACGGAGCAAATGTGGCAAAACACTCTTGGAACTTGCATTTCAAAACACCGCTATGCTAAATATTTCCAAAAGTATTTCCAGAAAAGGAAAAGGCAAAGACTGATACCATCAACATGAGCCCGGCCGGACAGTCTGTCAGAATCTTCAACAACAATAAGTCTCTAAACCACGCCGACAAGTCCTCTTACACACCATGGCAGAAAAACAGCAGCTTTGATTTACTCAGAAAACGTGACTGTAGCTTCTGGCTAGTAATAAAGGCCTGCTTCAAAACAAGAAAGCAAGATGAATGGGAATGGAATAACAGATATAATTAGAGAGGGAATGTTTTTGGTTTCCTTAAAAGCCTCTAACAATTTGTTCTCTCACAACAAAAAAAACAACACAGAATCCACTCAACAAGACATAAACGACAGCCAACTGCAGGGACCTGACAAGAACCAGTTATGTAGGCCTTTTAGAACATGGAAAAGGTTGCTTTTGTTTTTAGGACTGCCGGGGTTGTTAAGGCAGGGGTCTGAGGGCTGCCTGGGGCGGCACGACGCGTAGTAGCTGGGTAGTTTGGTGGGGCAGTGAGTTCTGCCCCACTGAGCCGCAACATGGGGCAGATTTCCCAGCTTCTGCTTTGTAAGCGGGGGCGGCAGGGGAAGAACTCCTGGGCCCTGAAAGGAAGCTCAGCTAATGGGTGCAGGAACACCCGGACGTCTGGAAGAAGCATGGTGGCGGGGGGGCTGCTTCTTGGGTCCAAGGAGCTAATGGAGGGGAGGCCACTGGAGGCGATACGCAGCGAATCAGGGGGTCAGGCAAAGAGGGCCTGCTGCCCTGACTCTATCTGCAGCTCCCGCCTGCCCCTTCGATAGTCTGCTGGGCGACATATCCCGAAGCCAAAGGTTTGGCCAAATGGCCTGGCTCCTGTGTCCAGTGTAATGTGGGGCCCACGGTCAACAGCAGCCAGGACCGAAGGCCTTTAGGGTCATAGGCTAATAGGGCAGTCAGTCAGTGGTTCCAGTGGCGACGGAAGCCCGTAACTATGCAGGAACTGAGTTCTCCTTAGAGTCCAACAAACACCCAGAGGGCACTCAGAGGCCCTTTCTCAAATACCAAAGAGACATATGAGCCATTCTAGCACCCTGACACCACCCTGGCAGGGAGAAGAGACCAAGTGGAGAAATTAACTGTGGGCATGTGTTTAGATGGGATGGTTAACTTGTAAGAGACCAGGTTGCCTCTAATTGGCAAGTTTAAGCCTTGGACTGCCGTTGGTGGGAATGAAACTTCAGATGAGATTTCTGTGTACCTGAGTTTAAATATGTGATTCATTATCCCACTAGGGAAGTATCAGTGTCTACCTGAGATCTTACAAAATCATAGTGGTCACGTTGCCTGAAAATCCCAGGAAGCAAGTCACCCCAGTGTCCTCTCTTAGATGCCACAAACCCATACTTGGGTAGTGGTGGCGATGAGGGTGGAAGGCACGGCTGTATGGGCAAGCTGGAACAAGAGAAGCCCCTGTCTTTCATGACAGTCCTGAGTGGGAGTAATGCCTCATGATCTAAAGCCACTCCCCCCCTGTGTTCTCGCTTGAGCAGAGCCTGAACAGCCAACAAGCCTGGATGCTCACTGCTGTACTGTCTCCTGGGTCTAGAGGTGGCATAGCTGCTGGTGGGCCACCCCAGCTCCACCTTCCATTCCTTCCTCATCAACACGTCCCAGATCTCATTCAGGGCAACACCGTGCGCACCTCCCCTCAGAGCCAAGGTTGGTCACGTGACACAACTCTGGCCAATGAGGTGTAAAAAAAGTTCCCGGATGGAGCTTCTGGAAAGCTCCTCGCTGCCTTTTGGACCTTTACACTTCACACTTTTGCGACCTGAAAGGCTGGCAGGCACTCCGCAAGTCATCTTGCAAGCATGTGGATGAGGATCACGGCTTAAGGACTGTGGGCAGTAAACCAGAGGCAGCCTGGGGCATTGGGCACATCATGGAGCTGCTATACTTGCTTGGACTGCCCACCTCCGGGCTTCTTTTAGTTATTAAACAAACAAACACAAAACTTCCTGATTTGTTCATTCTACTGCTTTTTGGGTTTATGTTTGTGTCCAAATTTCCCTTCTTTAATAAGGACACCAGTCACTGGATTAACCAAGTATGACCTTGTCCCAACTTGATTATATCTGTAAAGACCCTATTTGCAAATAAGGTCACATTCACAAGTTCCAGGTGGACTTGAAATGGCAGAGTGGGGGTGGGGGTGGGGCGGAGAACACTATTCAACCCAGTATAGCAGCCAAACTGCTTCACTGTTACACAGGATCCAAACCATCCAGTTCATCTAACGAAAGGGGACTGAGACAGCCCCACCAATCCTCTCCTGCACACGGAGTATGATCTCAAGTTCCAGGCTGGGGGCTCCGGCCTGCTGTGCAATGTGGCTGACCAAGGGTACACCCAGGGAGAGAGAAGAGCCCCGAGCCTTAGTATCCTCAGCGGGAGACCTTTACCCAGAATTCTTTAGCCTTATTTTTAAGACAAGATCAAAGATCACCTTTCAGAATCTGATGGAAACCAGGACCTTCTGCCCTGAAAACCCACAGATCTATATAATGTTCATTTAATCTTAAGGACAAATCTGTTTTAATCAACTAAGCTGACTAGTCTCATTTTAAGAAATCCAGCATATAGAAATCCAAATTAAAACAAAAGGGCACCTTTGGAGGCTGTTAAATGTTTTGAATACAAGAATTCTGACTTTATAAACAAAGTACTGGCCAGGTAAATCCTTTGCCTAATCAGTTTAACTATATATTGATTTAAGGTAGCATTTATGAATATCCTACTAATATATAACTTCTCAGTAACAAATCTCTTGCTTTAAGTTGCACCTGCATGTAAAAACAGGAAAACATAATGATGTTTTTCTCATGCCTTAAAATATTAAATGCAGAAATGTGAAATGTTTAAATTTCCAATGCAATGCACATTTTTTTCTTATAGCAAGAGGCAGAGTAAATTATGGGATAAAGGCTCTTTCTTTTTGTTTCTGCATAGAAGGAAGAATATGTTCTTTATAATCTTCTATTTAAGTTTTATGTATTATAGACGTTACAGCACTGAAACTAAAGGAGGAAAATCTCACAGAACTACTTCTGTGGAAATTACACAAAAATCTCATCAAAACAGTTCCATGGTGACTCCACTGTTTCTAAAGAGGTGTCAATGCCACAAAAATTGATCTCTGACTCTAAGAGTAGTGGAAATGGCACACAAACTACTTTTTACAATTTCTTAAAAGCCTTTTTTCTTCAATGCTAGAATAAA